CAGAGTGCTGTCCCTCCCCGACCCAGGCTCACTGCACCCCTAACTTTCACATTCCCTCCTCACTCAGTTGGGCTCATCTCTTCAGATGAAGACCAGAAGAGGGCTGCCTCCCCACTGCCCTCGCCCTCTGACCCCACAGACAGGAGGGAGGGGGAGAAGCCCTGTAAAAGTATGCCACCCCCTCCCGCCACCTCCCCACCACAGGACTCACACGCCCAGAGGGGGCTTACTTGGCAAGGGGGGCTGGACATGTTTCCTTGATGGGAACCCACTTGGGAGGTCTGAGCTGTTCAGAAGTTCCATGAGCTGAAGGAGCGACCTCGGGCCCCTGCACCTACATGGGACCCAGAGTAGGGCAGGGGCACGCTGTTGCTGAGCACGGAAGACGGGCTGGGCAGGAAGCAGCCCCTTCTCCCGGGATTGCTGCTCAGACCTCCACGGTTTGTCAAGCAGATTGGGAGCTGGGGTCTGGGGTAGGAACTTGGAGCTTCTAAGGAGAACTTTGGTGCAGCCCAGGGCCCGGTGGAAACTTCTGGAGGCTCGGGCAGGCTCCGGGACCACCAGACTGGAGTACTTCTATCTAGGGGGGTGGGGAGCCTGAGGATGTGCTGATAGGCAATCAGACCCCCAGAAAGGGAGCCTCCAGGACCCGGACCCTGCTGCTGAGAAGCCCAGTAAGGCGTTTGCTGCTCCGAGTCCCCCAGGATGGTGTGTCCCCTGGTCACGTGAATGTGTTTCCCACACGCTCACGTGCTCTGGCAAGTCACATAAGCACGTCTGTGGGAGGCCTGGAAACCGCAGCATGTGTGCACACACTCACACATGGTGCATATCCACATGTGTGCACCTGAACGCACACACACTTGGCTCACATCTATGCGCAGATGCTGATGCACACACGGTGTGTGGGCCCACATACATGCCTCAGCCGTGGACACGTCTTGCATGCACACACACCCACGCCTGAATGCACGCACAAGCTCACACATGCCCATACCCACAGACGTACTTGCCTGAGCACAAACCTGTGTGTGTGCGTACGTGCACACGCATGCATGCATGAGGGCACAGCTGGAAGTCACTGGGACAGCATCCCAGTAGGAATGGTGATGTGTGCACAGCTGTGAGAAGGTCCCCCATCCTGTTGTGTCCTCTGCCCAGGAGCGGCTGTCCCACCCAAGTGATGGCTCAGTTCCTGTGGGTCCCACTGTGAGGTCACCAGGTTCCCTGCTCAGTCTGCACCCCCACACACACACCTGCAGGACCACCAGTGTGGTTGGGGTTGGGGGTGTCCCCCTCTCAGGAGCCCTGTTCACCCCACAGCAGACATCTGGGATTGTTCATTGCCACAACCTACTGGCCAGAGGGTGTCTTATTTTAATAAAACCGGGTTGCTGTGGTAATGCCCACCAGACCCCAATGAGGCAGCCAGAACTTGGGGTATCTTTGCCTGAAGTTCCCACTGGCAGCCCTTCAGCTAAAGAGAGGCCATGGGGGACCAGTGGTCGTTCGTTCAGGGAGCAGCTGCCCTCACCTCCAACACCATCACCACCAGGGCCCCCTAACGAGGATCCAGGAGATCCCCGAGCCCCACTCAATGGACTGGAAAGCTGAAGCCTCAAGGGAGACTGGCCAGTCCGAGGACACCCAGGCTCCTGGCTGGGCAGGGTCCTCTCCCCGCTGCACTGCAAAGTGGCCCCCAGTATCCTTTCTGCGGTACAAGACTGCCCTCTGGAGGTGGCTGGTGGTACTTCTTCCTCTGGTTGCTTGCCACCACCCCCCCACCCCAAGGTTGGGGGTTGGGGTGGGTGGGGAAGGTAGGGGGCCCAGAGGAAGACGCTGGAGTCCTCCCAGAGGGAAGGGTCAAGGAGAGCCCGCCTGCTGGCCGGACACTGCTGCTTCTCTGGGACCATCTTTGAGCCTAAGGCTCCTGGGGCGGACGCTCAGTGGACAGCAAGGTGGAGGGAGAGGGCAGCCCCCTGCACCTCCCCTGTGACTTGATTTGCTGTCCCCCATCCTGAGCTCCGAGGTGATGGCCATGCCCTTCCAGGGGCCTGACTCCCCTGGAGCCCCTAGACGTGCATGCTGGGCTGTGAGTCCCACTCAGACCGGCTGCCATGTGTCTTGCAGGTGTAAGTACTGCGACCGCTCCTTCAGCATCTCCTCCAACCTGCAGCGGCACGTGCGCAACATCCACAACAAGGAGAAGCCCTTCAAGTGCCACCTGTGCAGCCGGTGCTTCGGGCAGCAGACCAACCTGGACAGGCACCTCAAGAAGCACGAACACGAGAACGTGCCAGGTGGGGCGGGGCGGGACACGCGGGGCGGAGAGAGGAGGGAGGGAGGGGTGCAGGCTGGTCCTGTAGGAAGGCTGGCCGGTGCTCCCCAAGCCACTTGGATGACAGAGAATCTCACCCTCTGAGACCCCTCCTCTAACCACCACCCCCACCCCCGCCACCGGCCATGCCCCCACAGTAAGCCAGCACTCTGGAGTTTTCACCAACCACCTTGGGACCTGCGCCTCCTCCCCCACCTCCGAGTCGGACAACCACGCACTTTTAGACGAGAAAGAGGATTCCTATTTCTCGGAGATCCGCAACTTCATTGCCAACAGCGAGATGAGCCAAGCGTCCGCCCGGCCCGACAAGCGGTAAGGAGCCCCCGGGGCCACCCGAGGGTCAGGGCTCAGCTTGTGGCCTTGCTCACAGGGGCTAGGTACACGCCTCCCCCGGGCACACTGACGGGAAGTGGGGGAGCACTCGTTGCAGCGTGAGGCCCGGCCTCTGTGTTCCCCCAGGGACTGTAAGGGAACAAGAGCAGGCACGGTGTCCACTGAATGGATGGCACACACGCCCGATGGTGGCCGCTCTGAGCAGATATACAAGTAAAACATCAGCCGGGTGAGGGCTCCTCCTCCAGGTTCACTGTGCTCCGCAAACACCAAGCTCCAAGTCCACCATGCTCCCCAACCACGAAGCACAAGGACATCCATGCCTAGTTCAAGGAATGAATGGTTTTCCAGCAGGAGACTGCCTCTTAAAAACCATGAGCATATTCGCACAGCACATACACAGACACAACATACATGCTTACATATGTGTATACGCATGCATTCAGAGGTGTGTGTGTACATAGGTGCACAATGCCTATACATTCACATGTGCACACTTGTATATATGCCTGTCACATGCGTGCATGCGTGGGTTTATGCATGCATATACACATGCTTTTCTGTGTCTACAGATCAATGCACTCATGTGTGCAAATGCACACACCCAGGCATGCGTACACATGTGCACATGTGTAAAAAAGCAGGGTTGGGGTTCACAGAGCAAGGGTGCTCCCAGCCGTCCCTCCTTGGGGCCCCTTCTTCTGAAAAGAAAACACAGACCCTCCAAGATGTTCTCCTTGGGCAAAGCTAACCCAGGGGGGCTCCAAACCCTAAGGGGCTCCAAGGTCAGGAGCCTAACTGCATAAGGCAACTGAGGGCCCCAGAGGAGGTGAGGACAGGGGTGGCTGGCCTGTCCTCTGAGAGGCCTTGTCCAGAGCCTCGCTAGCATTGCTGCACCTGAGAACAGCCATGTGCCTTACGAAGCGGTGTTGAGTGGGACAGACGCTCAGATCTCATTCAGAACCAGCGTGCCTTCCCGGTCACATAGCTCCTAGTGCCCCGCCCCAGCCCAGCCCCCTTGTGTGGACACGTGTGTGCTCTGTGCCTCCAGCTGTCCCCTGCCTGCCAGCCCCACGGAGACCCCTTGGGCCCCGCCCCTCCCCTGGAACACGCTGTAGATACACACTTCCTCCCAGTGGGCTGACATCTGTGCGG